CTAAGGTGCAGCATTCAACTGGCCACATGGCCACTGAAATCAAAGAAGGAACATTTCCTCACAAATTCCAGAGAATAAACAGAGACTTCATTGAACTTCTCAGTGAAAGAATGGCAATGCAATGGGAATCAGAACCCTCCAGGCAGCGATGCCGACGCGGGGGTGTGGCCGCTTTACTCCATTAGCAAAGACAGCCATTGACCCCATCATGCACAGCTGGCCATTACACATGTCATTGGAGAGGAGCACTGAACATTCTAATATTACTGTTTGGTCATCGAATGCCAGATCCAATGTTCCAGGTTTCTCATATTTTTAGGTCAGGAAAAACCGACAACAAAGTATTCTATTGGAACATTCATTTTGATACAAAAAGGTTTGGTGATGAGGTTTGTCGTGCTCTACCTTTCATACATCGCCAATTTCTGAGATGTGACCTGACCTCCGTCTGTTTGGATATTGGGAAAGCAGGAGCTGCCCTCGAAGAAAGCACAGAATAAGATAAGCTGTTCATAAAACAAGCACAAAGGTGTTTTCAATAGAATTAGACTGCGCTGACAAAATTCGTGGAAGATGGAGAACGCATTGATGTCTGCTTAGTGGAGGGTTTAACTAACGTGACCTTTGGATTCCACTGTGGCAAGAGGAAGTTTTAAGTGAAAAAGTTCTAAAAGTATCAAAGTATGGATGTTCAACAAGATGATGACACCAAGATCAAGTGATTTCTATGTTGAATATTTAGCTGAAATATGACAGATAATGGATTTTGAATTGGCGGCCCCATTTTGAAATCAGCAAGATGGCCCGCTACCGACTGATAATGATTTTGTGTTGTAATGGGTTTCCTTTGAACCGCCTAATAATGGTTGGTTCAGACACCGAGGATCATGTTTCTATGTCGAATATTAGCTGACATTAGGAACTATAAAAGATAGATGGATTTTGAATGGCGGCGCATTTTGAAATCCAAGATGGCGGCGCAACGCACCGCGTAATGGTTTAGATATCGTAATAGGTTTGTTGACACTCCGATAATGTTGGTTTAGACACCAAGATCATGTTTTCTTATGTTAAATATGTAGCTGAGAATATGAAAGATCATACGAATTTGAAGTGGCGGCCAGTTTGAACATCTAAGATGGCCGCCACCGGACGAACGATAAGGGTTTTGATCTGTGTATATGAGTTTCTTGACCCACCGATAATGTTGGTTTAGACCCAAGATCATGATTCTAGGTTGAATATTAGCTGAAATACTGAAAGATAATAGATTTGGATGGCGGCGCATTTTAAAATTCAAGAGGGCGGCCATAGCGAACCGATAATATTTTGAATTGTAATGGGTTTTCTTGACCCCGAGATAAAATGTTGCGTTTCAAGACACCAAAATCTTGTGTTCGTATGGGTGAATATTAGCTGTAAATTATGAAAGATAATAGATTTCGGATGGCGGCCATTTTTAAAATTCAAGATGGCGGGCCATGGAGCTCAATAATGATTTTGATTGTAATGGGTTTCTTTGACCCCGTAATGTTGGTTCAGACACCGCAAGATCTGTTTCTATGTTGAATATTAAGCTGAATAACTGTAAGATAATGGGGATTTTGATACGGTGGCCATTTAGTTAAATTGCAAGATGGCGGCCCGAGGATACCATGCCGATGGAGATGGTACCCCGATCTCCTATGAATTGTACATATCTTGAAAGCTACGCTTTATGCCAATTTTCCATGCTTGTTCAAAAAGGTGCAGCACATTCATCTGCACTTTTTGGCCTCTTAGCTCGCTGTACTGATCTAGGACAAACTACAGCCTCAACTTGAAAATGGCGGCCAATTTAGGATTTTATGCTAATTAGCCAGTTTCCCGTGGTCCGCGCATTTTTGGCCGGATTTTGCATATGATAGTTTAGGAGGGTCCTAATCAACAACTTCCCAACAAATAAAAAGCCTACTGTTGCAATTTGGTTCGCGGCGGTATTTCAATATATTGAACTGGACTATATCGCACAACTGCCGCACAGCGTTACTGGGGAATAACCGCCAGGCGACTTGTTTTTCGCAGATGCAATTCGGGTCGCAAACTTCCAGAACTGCCGTTCAATTCCGGCGCGAACGACGGGAAATAGGACAGAGACTGCGGAGAAAGAGAGGAGGAATAAATCTAGCGGCCGACGCCCAGAGAAACGCCTAGGAGAGCGACATAGCACGGGGTGACACCGCGTTGTGGTCGACAGAAGTAAAGTCGATAAACTTACAACAGAACTTCAAACGCGACCAGTAACATGCGTTGTGGAGAAAAAGGGAAACAGCGTTGGTGATCGAGGTCACCACAGAATACGTGACATACAAACGAAACATCACAGAGGTGAAGAAATCGTCACCACGGCAGGAGGTACAACGCAAGGAGCCGAAAACAACGCCTTGCATGACGTTGCGCCAACCGTTGTGAGTATGGTTGGCATGAGACTAGTTGGCAAATGTTGGCCTGGCATAACGTTGGGCCCACACGTTTTGGCGTATAGTTGGCATGGTCATGGTCCGGCAGTGGTTAGCTACATGCAGCGATGGGCAACGTTTGGCGTATGGTTGGGTAGTGGAAATTGGTACTCAGTGAAGACAAATTTTAAACTATATACATATATACATATTGGCTGAGAGAGGCGCGCAGAGATAGAGAGAGAGAGAGAGAGAGAGAGAGAGAGAGAGAAGAGAGAGAGCACTAGAGACAGGAGAGAGAGTGGAGAGAGAGCGAGAACAGGAGAAGAATGAGCGGGGAGAGTGTGTTGAGGATGGATGGGAGGGAGAAGGAAATTTGGAGAAGGGGGGAAGGAGGTCGAAAAGGGGAAAGGAGGTATATATATAGAGCGAGATCGAAGAGGAACATGACGAGAGAGAAAGAGAACGCGCACACGAAAGAGAAGAGAGAGAGAGTGTGTGTGCGCGCGTGTGTGTGTGTGTGTACGTGTGTATGTGTGTTGATGACAGAGAGAAAGAGGTGTGGCCGTGTTGTCTCTGTGTGTGTCGACCAGAGAGAGAGAGAGAGAACCGAGGGAGTGTGTATGTGTCAGAGAGAGAGAGAGAGAGGGGGGTGTGTGTGTGCGCGCGCGTGTGTGTGTGAGAGAGAGAACATGAGAGGGAGTGTGTATGTGTCTGAGAGAGAGAGAGAGAGGTGTGTGTGTGTGTGTGTGTGTGTGTGTGTGTGTGTGTGTGTGTGTGAGAGAGAGAGAGGGGTGTGCGCGTTTGAGTTGTGTGTGTGACGGAAAGAGAGAGAGAGAGAGAGAGAGAACCAGAGAGGGAGTGTGTATGTGTCAGGAGAGAGAGAGAGAGAGAGAGAGAGAGAGAGAGAGGTGTGCGCGCTCGTGTGTGTGAGTGAGAGAAAGAGAGAGAGCGAGATGCGTGCGCGCGCGTGTGTGTGCGTGTGTGTGTGTGTGCGCGCGTGTGTGTGTGTGAGGAAGCGAGAGAGAGAACCGAAGAGGGAGTGCATGTATCAGCGAGATAGAGAGAGGTGTGCGTGTTTGTGTTGTGTGTGTGACAGAGAGAGAGAGAGAGAGAGAGAGAGAGAGAGAGAACCAGAGAGGGAATGTGTATGTGCCAGAGAGAGAGAGAGAGAGAGAGAGAGAGAGAGAGAGCGCGCGCGCTGCGCGCGTGTGTGTGTGTGTGAGTGTGAGAGAGAGAACCAGAGAGGGAGTGTGTATGTGTCAGAGAGAGAGAGAGAGAGAGAGCGAAAGAGAGAGATAGGTGTGCGCGCGTGTGTGTGTATGTGAGAGAGAGAGAGAACTAAAGAGGGAGTGTTTGAGGGGGACATCAACCTTGGCACGCTGAGCTGTCAGACGTTGGGCCAACGTTGGCCAGCCGAGCAAAAATCCGTTGGGCCAACGTTGGCAAAATGACGTTGGGCCACGTTGGCAATATGACGTTGGGCCAAGTTGTGCCAACTTGGCCCAACGTCATATTGGGGCTGAGCAAAAAGCCGTTGGGCCAACGTTGGCTGTCTGACGTTGGGCCAACGTTTTTCAATATGACGTTGGACAACGTTGGCACGTTGAGCAAAAAGACGTTGGATCAACGTTGGCTGTCTGACGTTGGGCCAGCATTGGCAATATGATGTTGGGCCAACGCTGGCTGACTGCTGTTGGGCCAACGTCGGGCCAATGTCGGGCCACCGTTGGGCCAATGTTGGCTGCCAACGTTGGCCAACGTTAGCACGCTGAGCAAAAGACGTTGGATCAACGTTGCTGGCTGACGTTGGGCCAACGTTGGCAATATGACGTTGGGCCAACGTTGGCTGACTGCCGTTGGGCCAACGTTGGCTGCCAACGTTGGGCCCAACGTTGGCACGCTGAGCAAAAAGACGTTGGATCAACGTTGGCAGCCAACGTTGGCCCAACGTTAGCATAAGCTAAAGACAGCCGTTGGCCCAACGTTGGCCCAACGTCAGCATGTTATCTGGGACTGTTCTGACCACTTTACACACATCTCGAGATCCTCGGTGATTCTCTGATTATCTGTTAGAAAACCTGGCTATTTATGCCATGTTTCGGGTACCACGTGATCTCAGTATAGTACTACGCGTTTAACAGTGTAGGCTAATTAGTCTACGAAATACGTCTAGCCTTGGTCATCCTGACCACTGTCGCCATTTTCAACGAGAGGGGGGAGGGTGTATTTTTATCCTACCCGGATCTACGTACCTGGCGGTACCAGTGATTGTCGCCTAATCTTAATTTTATTTACGATATCAGCTTGGCGGCTGCTCTACAGCTAGAAAAGGGGAGGGGTTTATCTGACCACTGATCTAGTCTCGATATAAATGCGGCAAGTAACGTGGTTGCCCCGCTGCGCGGCGCGTCGGCGTCGCGCGATCTATATTGTAATCACTTTCGCTTTATTACAATCTTGGTGCGCCTAAAACTTCCCGTGGTATCCTAAAATTTCTAAATGAAAACAAACGTATTGCATCTGAAAAATCAAAATCCCACAGCTTCTCGCCCTACGCACCTGGAATGATGTTTTCAAAGTAAGCAGCCAGCAGCAGGTAAATCAGCGTATCAACAGCCATCATGATGAGACAGTTGGAGAACGGAAATATTCCCTCATTCACATTGTCCAGATTCACGCCTCCGGATGTCGTCTCCAGGAGGACAGCCTGGCATAGAGGAAAAACAACAGCAAAGATAAAGGTTTACATTTAAGGTGCCTATGTGCTTCACCAACACAACCAAGTTTCGTTATTATTTTTAAGTATTATTATGTGCGTTGTATCGTACAATAAACATTTCCATAGTCAACTATATGTACGATCAGGAGTGAATAAAAACTTGTTGTTATTCATGCCAGGCCCGTCGGAGCCGCTACGGTTGGTACAGGATTGACCGTACCACTTTTCAGCCTAAAAAAAGAAGAAAAAAGGAAAAGAAAAAAAAGAGAGATAGAGAGGGAGAAGAAAAGAAGAGAAAGGAGAGAGCGAGAGGGAAAAGAAAAGAGAAGAGAAAAGAAGAGAGAAGGTGGGAGGGTGAAAAATGTCATGATCATAGGCTGATCGTAGGCTTATCACCAGCTTAATGGAAGAACACGAGCATCGAAGTGACTTTGCCTTTTTTCCATTATTATGAAACGCATTATCACATAAACCGAAGAACAGCATATATGCCACAAAACTTTTTCATCCAATCGCAAATCTTAAAAATAATATCCTCAAGAAAGTGATATATTAAGCTCGCCACCTGACCGTGAAACCTCCTATTTATAGGTTAGGGTTAGCAGCTTGACCTCAATTTCTATTTAATGAAGAGTAATTTGTCCTTTCCTGCAGTACAATGAAAGGATAAAAAAAATCACTTTAAAGTGTGCTAAATTGCATGATTTGCACCCCCAATTCAAAAAAAGTTCTTACCGAGGGAGGGGGATACCCTCCCTCACACACCCTCCCCCGCTCGATCGCTCCGCTCCCTCGCATCGTTTCCTGTCCCGTAAACAAATTTATAAAATCTGGTCACCCTGACTGCCCCTCCGAACCCCGCTGGGGGTTTCACCCCCAGACCGCCACTAAAACCGTACCACTTTAAAATTTCTTCCGACGGGCCTGATTCATGCCTGATATGTACTATGTATAAATGTATTTTTGAGAATGTAGTTTTGTCATGACAGTGTATCAGAATGAGATGATGGGATATTTATCGCTACACATGCATGCACCCACGCACACACGCACGCACGTGGGGGAAGACACCTGCGCACACACACGGACCCACGCACACATGCAGTGCATTAGTAGTAACCACTTGACGACCTATTAACCTACGTAAAAAATGTGACTCCAGTCGACAAGAGCGATGGGTTACCAAGTTTACAAGTTACAATGTACAAGTTGCCATAGTTACCTGATCGATGGCGAGCGTGAGAGCGACGGGAGAGAGGAGGCAGAGGAGCCAACGCACAGTGACTGACACGCCGGGAACAAACTTCACAACAAAGTAGAGCATCGAGAAGATGATTGTCGCAAAGCTTCCGAAGGCTCCAGCCGTCTTTCCTTTCTGCCACGGCGATGAAACAAACACGGGCAGAATTTCAATTACTCTATGCTTCTGAGCAAGACAACTACGCCCTCCTTGAAGATTGTTGCTAGAAGGTTTAAGCCCTTGCAGTGGGTTTCACATGGGTACACCATGTTGCCGACCTTGCGGCATTTCCTATTTAATTGAGCAACGTATTTAGAACAGCCCTAAGGCATAACTGACTGTGTAGAGCTACCCACCATTTGCTCCAGATAGCTAGGTCAATTGTTTTTATGATAAGGCTAATGTTACCTTGGACTTAATACTCGATTTTAGGGCAGCACGGCAAGTTAGAGGGACATCAAGCCCAAACTTTCCCTTCAAATAAGGAGAATCGAGGCAACTGGGTTGCTATCAACCCTTTTTATGTCTGACAGAGAGAGTTATACATGCGCAACAAGGAATTTATAGAAAAGGGCATGGAGGTTTTCCATGTAGGGCAGCCAGGGCAGTTTATTGGTGTGGCTATCGGCCAGCCTTTCGAGGAGCCAGGTTAAGTAATTTCACTATGGCACTTGCCGTCGATGCCGTGGTGAAATTCGAGAGCAGAAAAATCACTGATGTATTAGATTTCCTCAAAGTTAGGCAGATTGTAAACTGTACTTTGTACCGCAATCCCCCACAAGTTTGCTTGGCAAAGGGAGCCAAATATTTAACCAAGGAGAAAAAGAAAGTAGGTCCTGTCACATGTTATCACATTTTTGTTTACCTGTAGCACACTCATGTAAACGAACAATAAACATGAATAGGCACACAAGTAATCATAACAAATAATTCAAATTCACCTAATTACATGATTTCATACGACAAAACAAAATCTGATGACATTATTCGAAACAATAAACACCAACAAAAAGATTTAATTGCACAAAAGTGGGGCAGGGGCAGCTCGTAGAAGATGCACTCACGTGAAGGAATGGAGTCAGCATAAAGGAGAAGGTGATGATCGACATTCCGTAGAGCAACAGAGCGATGAACATCAGAATGAACGAGCTGCCGGGGAACAGACGAGCATACTTGGCAATCAGTTCCATGATGAAACAGATGACTGTGATGATGACCATGTACACAATCGTCCACGACAACCTGTCAATAAATTCAGGTCGGGCAATTGTGTAATGAGAGTCGATCGAGAAGACAGTAAGCTACAGCTATAAGCTGTTATATATCTCGTGTTCTTGAGACATTCGAATAAAGATTCCAACGACTGTCTTACTTGTTACATAATATATTGTTCATATAAACTTGAATCACACAGACGCAGTTACAACAGCGTGTATAGTCTAGTAGTAGGTCTCAGGAGAGAGATAGTGAATATAGAAATAAGTTGTGGATATAGAAATCAGTTAACCCTAACCATAACCCGAATCCTAACGCTATCTTTAATTCTAAAATAAAATGAAAGTGTCAATGACACTGTAGCTCACCACAAAAAAGGACACAAATGAGTGAGTGAGAAGTAGTCAGTTTTAATCGAGCAACCATCGACGTACAGTCTAGAAACGAAGAGTATATATGGGAGAACTCCCATTATATACTCTTGATAATTATATGTGTAATTTTTTATGTGAAAGTCTGAGATGTGGGCGAGTGATGGCGTTACACCTATAAATGATCGCCATTTAACGTTTTTATAATATTCAGATTTAGGACCTGCATAGTAGTGGAGCTCCCGATGTGTAACGTGTAAGATTGTGAGGATACGCTTATTCCACGTAGCTGCTATATACCACGTGACAATGGTGTTTCCTTGCCCATAACACAACTTTTGTCAAAGGTTGGTTGCATGGAAGTGTTTACTTCGTATGAGTTTTTCTAGGCGGTAGCACACGGTTGCCATCTGTATATCGCAATAATAATTTATAAACCAAAATGATTCACAATTTGTGACAGTAGATGGCGCTATACCCACTTTGATGTTTCTTAGCGATGGCGTTCGAAATAAATAGGTTATGCTGCGTTCCGACATGTTTTGTAAAACTTTACTCTAATATAGACGTTTTATCGGCGTGGAGAGAAAATACCAATTTTGCATTAAAGATATTATCAATGAAATCTTGTAAAACGAACCAGACGAGTGTGACACCACAGACTGTTATCTGCGTGTCTATATAATATGCTATATAATTGCCAAAACCTACATAATTTGCATAATTTATATATCAAAACCCCTGTAATACGTTTTGGGGCCAGCCCTTATTCATTCACATACCAAAAATGAGCAAAATCCGTTGAACCTGAATTGACTAATGGCAATTTCCATTTTTGCCAAAAAATTGCCGTGGCTCGAAAGTACTTCGACTGGCGTGCTCCAAAATAGGACGTTCAAACCTCTCCCATAGCAGTAACAACGATACCCAATTTCAAACATGTGGGTCAAACGGTTCCTGTGTTATCGTTGACCGTAGCCAAATGTTGACGGAAGGACGGACGGACGTACGACGGACGACGACCCATGGCAACAGCTCATCTTGACGATGTCAAGGTGAGCTAACAAAATTAGCCAAAAATAATAAACAATAAAATAAATAAGAGACAAAATTAGCCAATCAAAGCCGTCCCCTAGCGGATCACTATCTCTCCCTTGTGCAAAATTCATAGTTTAGAGTCTCGCCATAAAGCCGTGTTCACACGATCATGATTTGGCTCGAGCCAAATGGGCTAGATTTGCACGGCGGCCAAATTTGGCTCGGGCCTAATTGAGTCGGCGCGTTCACGACGTACGCAAGTAGGGGGAGGTAAATACTGTCTGTCAAATTCAAATTCAAATTCAAATAAATTTTATTGCACAAATATCTCACAGATACTTTGGCAGTAATGTCGCGAGATGGCGTTGTGTACGATTTAGAGTGTTTACTTACGTTCCGAGTTCAATTATCAATCTTGAAAACGTGCATCCCGATCAAATTTGTCGAATTTTTATATTGTTTTGGACTTTATTTCGTCGAATTAGACGTTTGACACTCGCAGCATCTACCGCTCAACCGATTCTACCGCTCTACCTCTCACCGAAAACTGGTGCTAAAATTTGGCTCGGGCCAAAATCGTCCGTGTGAACGCTCGGCTCGAGCCAAATCTGGCACGGGCCTAATTAGGCTCGGGCCAAAATCGTCCGTGTGAACGCTCGGCTCGAGCCAAATCTGGCACGGGCCTAATTAGGCTCGGGCCAAAAACGTCCGTGTAAACGCGCCTTTTTAAGTCTCCCCTCCTCGACTAGTGGCGCCACCTCTTGGGCGTACAAAGAATAAACATTACTTTAACGTTTTGCAATTATCTTACATCTCCCTCCCTTACAAGATCGTACTAGAATGCATAACTATAACATAGCAACATTGAACAGTATGTTACTAAACGAACATCAGTATACTCGTATACAGTATTGAATTACGACCGTTATGGGAGGTCTTACACGTAGTCACTAAATCGTACAGGTGGTTTCCTGTTACGTCCAGACCTTCGAACTGGTTCAGGAAAGTCTTCAGACGTGACATTCATTATATTGTCACTGTTGTCATTCATGACAATAGGATTGTCATCTGCACAGTCAGTCAGGGTTTCGAGTGTTGATGGTACTTCAACGGGCGACTGGATGGGTGGCAATGCAGTTACTGCCTTCTCGTAGATCTCCGGCTCTGTAGCTTTATGAGTATTCGTCTCTGGAGTGATTGGCGGTCATTTCGACGTTCCTGCAGTTGGTACCGTGGTTGGCGGGAATCTACGTCTCAGCATAATTCGATTTCTCACAGTCAGTAGGCCTGATGAAAGACGGATAACATACTTTCGATTCTTGAGGTTACGCTCTTGCACCACACCGTATTTATCCCATCTTCTGTTACACCTGTTCTGTACTAAGACAGGATCACCTACACTGAGGACAGGTAGGGGTTTACCAGGACGGTATTTCTCAGCTTTCTGGCGTTCACTGGATATCAACTTATCATAGTCGGCTAGTTGTTTATGCCAGTCTTTGCTCAGGGCACTCTTGTGTGCTGGAATTACTTCATTCACCAGGTGTCCATATAGATGGACCGCAGGGGCTATCCCTGTACCCTTGTGGGGTGTATTCCTGATAGATAGCAGACCACGAGTCCACTTTTCAAAATCCACCTTACCATTCGTCACACAACTGCGTAGTAGGTGCTTTGCCTGTTTTACCGCATTTTCTGCGAACGCATTACTCTGCGGGTAATACGGGGATGAGGATATCCATGTCACTCCCTACATCACACAGATGTCCTGGAACACACTTGAGGGGAATGGTGGTCCATTATCAGTGTATAGCACTTCAGGCACTGCTGTGTCAGCGAATATCAGTCTTAGCTCGTGGATCGTGGAATTAGCATCTGTTGAGCGCATCTCACAAACTATGAACCAGCCAGATAGCCAGTCGGTGACTATTAGAAATGTGCGACCATCCCAATCAGCAAAGTCAGCGCTTATGAATTGGAACGCTCGCTTTGGGATTGGTAGGTGCATCATCGGTTCCTTTGGCTGGCTTGGTAGGTCCTCCTTACACTAGTTACAAGACTGAAAGAACTCTTCTATCATTGCATCAATGTGGGGCCAATATACTATGAGACTTGCCCTAGCCTTTGTAGCTTCTATACCTCTATGACCTGCATGAAGGTCCACCAGTGTTTGTTTTCTAAGACTGGTAGAGATCAACAGTCTTACGCCATGCAGTATAAAACCATCATCTGAGATCGACAGGTGTTCACGTAGGTTCCAGTATTCACTGATCGAGGCATCCAGGTCTCGCTTCTGGTCAGGAAATCCATTAAGTATTGTTTCCTCCAGTGTTTGGTACTCATTATCATGATCAGAGGCTTCTCTGATCAACTGGAGGTGAATAGGAACATCTGCTTTCTCCATGCAGGCTGTGCGGATTGCTCGTACGGTACGGAGTGTCTCTCGCTCCTCCTCCAGGTTTGTTTCGTCTGGCTCTTTTGTCGGATACCGAGAAAATGCTTCAGCCATCAAGTTGGTTTTACCATTGATGTATTCGACTTCCATGTCAAATTCATGTGCTTGCATTAGGCAACGTCGAAGCCTCGGGATAGTGACTTCGTCTAGTCGTCGATTGTTCGTCATCGATACAAGGGGTTAGTGATCTGTGTACACTTTGAACCTAGGTAACCCAACAAGGAACTTAGACGTCTTTCGTAATGCCCACGAGAGTGCTTTCATCTCAAATTCGATTGGCATGTACGTCTTCTCGAGTTTAGTTAGTGTACGGCTGCCCACCATGATTGGTTTCCATTCCTGGTTTCGTTGCTTCTGTTTCAGGACAAACCCAAAACCAGACTTGCACGCTGCATCGATGTATAACTTGATGGGCTCACCAGGCAAGTAGTATGCGAGCCTACCAGGTTGTACTAGCATTTCTTTGACTTCGCGGAATGCCTGTTTTTTATCCTCTGACATCTCAAACTTTTTGTCCGATTTTTTGAGTAGGTGTCGCAGGGGGCCAGTTCGCCTGCCAATTCTGGATCGTATGGCGACATTTGGTTGGCTAAACCATGAAAGGATCACATGTCTGTTATGCTTCTAGGCTCAGGAAATTCTCTGAGTGACTCTATCAGCGAAGGGCTAATGGCAAATCCATCTTTACTCACGATCACACCCGCAAACTCTATCTCTTGCTTCCTGAATACAAATTTCTTTTCGTTCAGTCTAATGTTCCTCTCACGACATTGCTCCAGGAACGCTCGGACATGTATAAGGTGGTCTTCATCATTCTTCCCATACACGAGGGAATCATCTGCCACTCTTACGATGTTGTCTAGGCCATGAAGGGATTCCAGCATGCGGCGGTTGTAGTGCTCTAAAATACTGTTTATTCCGAACGGCGCCCTCTCATACCTAAAACGTCCAAAGGGCGTTATGAACGTAGTCAAGTCCTTCGATTCCTCAGCAATTTCGAGTTGGTGGTACCCTTTCTGGGCATCAAATTTGATTTCGTGAACAGAGATGCTTCGTTGGCTTGAATGTTTTTAACTGTCTCCAGGACAGATGGTGACTCGTAGACCTCGCGCTTTGATAACTTATTCAGTGGCTTGAAGTTTACACATAGGCGGATGTCGTCCGAGTTCTTCTTTTGCTCCACCACTATAGGAAGCACCCAGTCTGTTGCTTTCGTCTGAGGTGTTATGATCCTAGCCTTCTGGAGGTGTTCTAGTTCTTTCTCTAATTTAGGCATCAGTGGGTATGACACACCATAGGATCTGGTGGCTTTGAACGGTACCGCTTTCTCTTCCAGAACAATCTTGACTTTTTTCTCCTTCACAGGGTTTTCTAAGGGACCAAAGACATCAGCAAATTCATCTATCAAGTCCTGTCGAGTTACCTGGCTTTCTGGTTTCTGGACCTGGCATGTGTCTGACCTAGCCTTCAGGAGATGCTTCGGCTTTACTGGTATCGGTGGTTTGTTAGACTTACTGACTGTGGATATCATAGCCTGTTCAGGCACCTGGACATTGTCAGGTTTCCGAGTTGTCTCAGTAGGTGGGTCTAGATTAAGCCTGACTATGTTTAGCTCGATTGGGGCATCCTTAAATAGGATTGTGCCACTAAGTCCAGGGAAGACAACAATACGTCGGGTGATAACGTTGCACCCAAAGGCAATGTCGGCTTGGAAATATCCACTTGGCTTCATTCGTACTCCACTAGCATTTACCGTAGCTTACATGTCTGCAGTTGGTGGACATAGGTTGTGAGGGTCTTCTTTCACCGACACAAGTTCGCTTTATGCAATGCAACACCAATCCGATCCTGTGTCAATGAGAGCCTTTACTTGGCTGTGGCCATTTTGTCCACGAATGGTAACTTTAACTAAGTCAACATTAGTGCTAATGGAGCAAATGATGCTTCCCATTAACGTCTTCTTTGGCTTGTCATGGTATGATGCTGGTTTCTTGCCAGAGTTTCTGCACATGCACTTTTGCAAAAAGGTTCGATTTACCACATGATTTGCATTTCTCCCCTTTTGCTGGGCAAGTGGCTCTGTCTCGGTGTTTCGGGTAACCACACTGGTTACACATCTCAGTTTCTTTTTCTCTATCATTCCGAGGGCAGTCTCTGGACTGTGCAGCTCTTCTGCTTCTGAACCGCCTCGGTTTATTTGGGTTCCTTTCCATTTCTCTGTAGATTCGGGTCACCCCAGAACTAGCAGAATATGTGAGCTGGGCCTCTGTCTCTGTGATATTTTCGTCTGCTTCCAGAATCTTTTGTGCATGCCTTTTCTACAGAAAGGTCAGCATCTCTCAGCATCTCTCGTCTTGCAGCTTCCTTTTCGGTGCAGAACACAAGTTTAGACAGAATGTGGTCGTCAATGGCTGCTTGTGCACATTGATTACAGAACCCTTTATCAAAGTTACATTCTTTTACCTTTTCCACCACTTCACTATGGAATATCACAATAGACTAGTGAGGCTTTTGATGTAAGTGATAAAATTGGTGTCGAGATGTCCACACATATTTTGTTGTCTCGATTAGGCTTGAAGTAACAGCCACAACTTCTTTAATGTCTTGTCGCTTTGCTGCAGGGAGCTGTAGTCGAAGAGCATCTACACGGTTGAATGTAGATGGTTTCATGACGGACGCGATGGCAATTTGCTGAGTTTCCTAATCAAACTCTTTGAGTTCGGCTTCCTTGGCGAAAGCAAGAAAAAATCGTTGCCAGCTCCTAAGATCAATGCTAGAAAAGGAGTCCATATCTAACTTTTCTGGACATAGTGTTTTCAGTAATGACCAGTTTACCTTCTTAACACGAGCATCTGGTAGGTTGCTCTGCTGCTAGACTGTCGCCTGCGTTTGCTGTGCCTGTTGGGTGATAATTGCAGCTAGCATCTGCAGTAGGTCGTTCTGCTATGGCACTGAATGCGGCTGTTCGCCAGTAGCACTATCAGCACTCATGTCCATCTGCATTCTTTCTTGAGCGTCTTCTCGAGCTGCCATCGTGTGAACAATAGCAATGCACGTATACAGTACGTTTTCCCGCCTTTATTACACGTGGTACTGGTAACACAGTTCCATCACCCGGTCTCCGTTCACTCAAGCTTGCTGGTTCGAAGATTATATCAAATCTCCTCTGCCTTGCAGCGCCATGTTATATATCTCGTGTTCTTGAGACATTAGAATAAAGATTCCAACGACTGTCTTACTTGTTACATAATATATTGTTCATATAAACTTGAATCACACAGACGCAGTTACAACAGCGTGTACAGTCTAGAGTCCCGCCATAAGTCCCCCTTCTCGACTAGTGGCGCCACTTCTTGAGCGTACAAAGAATAAACATTTCTTTAACGTTTTGCAATTATCTTACATAAGCGAGCGCAGAATATATGTATATATGTGTATATATATCTATATGCATAGTAGTTTAAGAAGAGCGTGACTTATCGGTATCATTGTATCATGCAGTTCTAAGACCGGGCTAATTTGCAGGGGAACAGTGCGTTGTTGCCTTTACATACTTGCTTAGCCCGCTTCACCTGCCAGCTTTCTGCGTTTGCCTTCTGTTTTATACATTTCTACTGCTAAAAGCTTTTGCGCACTGGATATAAACGAGTGCTTACACGCTTCCACTATTTGTAGTACATACAAGAATCTTACATCACGAAATAATTGAGAAAAATAGCTGATCTATTCACACACCCCACCCACACCAACCACATGAATGCCGCACAAATCATCGCCTCACCGAACCCCTGACGCAACAACAAGCCACGCACCAGAACGCCGCGTCCCTCATGCCCATCATTTTCATCGTCTCCTTGATCTTCATCTCCTTCTCGGTGACGAGCAGGACGAGCAGGAAGCTGACAAACGGAGCGAAGGCGATGACGAGGTAGATGGACGACAGCGACTGCATGTACGACACGTCCGGCGTATGACTCGGCTTCGGCATCATAAGTACGACGACGTCGCTCGTCGCCGCGGCGCGCCCCGTCTTCAACTGCCGTGCGACAATCAAAGGTAGAGGACCGACAATTAATGACACGTACGTAGCGTAGTGTAGCATTATGATCGTTGCCCCAAGGCGTGATCCGCAACGGTCGTCTTCTAGAATTAGCAACGAAACCCATTAACGACCCTATGCACCTAGAGGAAATGATAGGTAGTCCCCGCTAACTAATGTTGCGATACAGTGTGGTGAATATGCTGCTTAGAAACGAAGAGCTGTAAAGTTGATCATATGGTTTGTGTGCGTGGAAAATATGTATACACTAGCCTAGCTTGACCAACCTAGTACAAATATCGAATAAGAAGATATATCGTTCAGATAGGATAGCAAGCAGCACACTTGAGATCCGCTGCCTTTCCCGCACGTTTATACAATTTGATCACGAGAACTTACCTGAAGCAGTGTGGTATCCAGGACACCCTGGAGTAGACTAAACCCTGAATACAAATACCAATTGGCAGGACATTCTGGGATCGGTTTAGTTGACTGGTCACTTCGACAGACACCTGATGTGAACAACGAGCAAATGCATGAGGAGTTACACGAGGCAAAATAATTTGAGTTTTATGATTTCTATTGGCATATTTCAAGAAAAGATGACACGAGCCTTTCGCAGCTTGATATTCACAAAAGAATCAATTTTGTTAATGTACAGATATGCAAGATTGATTAGAGCGTATATATTACACGCTTCCACTCGCACTGACTGCTAAATTGTGACCATTACCTGGATTAGTGAAATCATTGTTGAGATCAATATATTGTCCTGGGGCCCGGATCGTGTACGTTGTATCAAGGAGGGGTCCATCGCTCGAGAATACTATACCCACAGACATCATACTGTGGTTGGCCTTGTAAGCGTTTTCTAGTTCCGCCTCGGTAGCAAAGAGTTCAAAGTACGGCGGGCTGCTAAAGAGAAAATGCTGCCTTCAGTATGTATGGGCTTAAAAATTATCATGTAGTGCTTGTACCATGTAGCAGCTACTGATCTTGTCTAAGACTGAATAAGCAATATGTAACAACAAACATTTATTCTCATTCAATTACAAATAATGAACGAAATAACACAACATATCACTGATGCTCATAGGGTCTCTGTCCCCCAGTGTACTGCCGGAACGTACCCTGGTCCCTGGTAACTATCTAGCTGATATGGTTAGGGTTAGGGTTAGGGTTAGGGAGTAGGCGTAGGCGACTCCCTAGCCTCGTTAGTGGAGTAGGCGAGGTACGGTCTGGCATATTAGATAGTAGTATTTAGTACCAGGGTACGTTCCGGTATACCGGACCGTACCCAGGATACGTTCCGGCAGTACCCTGGAGGGCATAGACCCTATCAGCATCACTGATGAGTGATGATACTACCCGCCAGTTGACTCCGATATTTCCACGTGTTTGATTTGAACCCCAATCAAACGATAATAAAAAATCTAAATGCTGATCTTTTTTTTAAACGTAATAATTGGTTATTGGAACCATAAGCCATAACGTTTTAGGCGGATTACTCCAGCATATTTTGCCGCGTGCAGATGAGAACATAATGCAAAGCAAACAGCTCCCATCTCACAGGCACTTGAAGCGTTTCAATAAAATATAATGCTAACTAAATACGAAATCTATTTACTACAAAATTCTTCATGTTTATATACTATAGGCCTACTCTCTTTCACCTATTATAGCCGATAGTTTCCTACCATTGCATTACCGGCTGCTCTCGCGGCATTGCTCTCGCGGCGCGACTGTTGCACGCTTACACTAATATATAGAGTAATACTTATATATGAGTGGTATATATATAAGGTTTTATATATATAAGGTTATATAAAGTTATATATATATAAGGTGTTATATTATACTTATATATTACTTACTCTATATATTAGTGTAAGCGTGCAACAGTCGCGCTGCGAGAGCAATGGCAGCCGGTAATGCAATGGTAGGAAACTATCGGCGATAATAGGTGAAAGAGAGTAGGCCTATAGTATAGAAACATTAAGAATTTTGTAGTAAATAGATTTCGTATTTAGTTAGCATTATATTTTATTGAAACGCTTCAAGTGCCTGTGTTCCATCTCTCCATCAAGAGCAGTGCGAGTCTGAACCTGTTCTGCACTCTAGCGAGTGTATCCATAGCAGCCACCATGAAGGCATTCACGGCGGTCGTATTCGGCGTCGCTCCATAGATGGACGTCAGCGGCCAGAAATCGGTGGTGTTGTAGAGGCTGGCAGAGGGGTAGCTGGGAATAACGGGCAGCTCATCGACCTTTTGTGTCAATCGCACTGCCACTAGGATGGCGATGAAGAAAAGTGGCGTTATGATCTCCTGTGAACGAACGAGAAACGCCATCGTGGCAAACATGTTATAAAGTAATAGGATCTCACATTTATAGGCTCTGCAAAGTTATGTAATTTCCAGTGGCCCTTACATTGTCCATTGCAGGGTAAAAAATACACGAGAGCAATGAGCGATTCGCTCTTCAAACCTCCGAAATCGCTCCCGCAAAACAAATTACGAGAGCGAAAAAAATAATATTTGAAAAAAATCGCTTTCGTAGCTGGGGGATCTGGCGGATGTGCGAGTTGAAAAACACGAGCTGCGAGCTGCGAGCTGAAAAAAACAATGCGTCCAAGCAAACAATGCAAATAAAACAATCAGTGCAGACAAATTCTCACTGTCAGGGGCGTAGCTACCGTAACGCAGATACGCAGTTGCGTACACATCATTTCACCAAGCATTTTATTTTTATTGGAGAGAGAGAGAGAAAGAGAGAGAGAGAGAGAGAGAGAGAGAGAGAGAGTCAGTCAGTGACTGGATGTGTCAAAATGCACCATTTTGCACCATTGTTTTAAAAAAAATCAGGGGGCATGCCCCTGGACCCCCTAGCACTCGGCCGCCTGTGGCGCCCGTATGTGCGTACACATCCATTTTACCCTAGCTACGCCCTTGACTGTAACATGAGACGCGAGAGTTTTTTTGGTCTTGGTTTAGGCACAACGTTCCCCCGGACTGTGCAAACATGGAGAGATTCTTGAAGCAAGGGGTAACTAGTGAGAATCGGAAATAGTGAAAATAAGCAATTCGAAATAGCTGTTGACGAGAGCTATTTTTCCCACAGACTTAAAAAAGAGCTCCCGTAAAAAAAAAATTTCGATGGTCCATTGTACACTGTGTAAAACTACTGTTCCGTGTATATGACAGCAAAGCATAACTAACTGTAGTGACATGCCGTAAACTGACCATTTAAGGACGAATATGGCTAGCTAACACCGTACGCCCTACTAGAGTAACTGATGCTTGTATCGCTTATAAGTATATATATATATATATATATATATATATATATATATCAGCAGGATACCCGGCGTTGCGCGGGGAAATCATTGGCGTTACTCAGTTGGTGACCACTTGGTTAAAAGGAAAATACCCCAAAAAATCTAACTATTTATCTATCCATGCATGCATGCATCCATCTATCCATCCCATTCCATGCCATCCCATCCCATCCCATCGCACCGCATCCCATCTCATCCCACCCCATCTCATCGCATTTTATGCCATCCCATGACATGCCATGCCATGCCATGCCATGCCATGCCATGCCATCGCACTGCATTCCATCGCACCGCATCCGATCCCATCCCATCCCATGCCATGCCATCCCATCCCATGCCATCCCATCCCATCCCATCCCAAACAGTAAAAAATAATAAGAAATAAAAATATAAAAAACATTAAATATAAAAAATAAAAAGTAAAAAGTAAAAAAGTAAAAATAAGTTTCCCAGCTGAGACTCGAACCCGGAATCCCGGTGTAGGAGACGGATGTTCTAGCGATTAGGCCACTGCGCCGTTAAGGGTATACCCATGGATTTACACGTACGTGATGTTAATCTGTACGCACCTCCATCCATTGATGAATAGAATTTTTATGAATTTTTAACTTTTTAATTATTTTTGTTTCAGCCAGAACCACCTCCCAGACGTGCTGATTCTGAAAATATCTTTAGTTTTCCTCTAAGCTGCGGAGTTCTCTAGTTATGCGAGTACGAACTAATTCGGCTGAAGAACTTTATCCTTACTATAAAGAGGCTAATCTTGTGTGTGTGTGATTACAGTTCTTTAGTCCTACGGGTCGTTGGTCCTACGGGTCGTTGGTCCTACGGTGCACGCAGGAACACGTAATTTTTTTCTTTACTTGTTTGTTAATTAAATTTTTAATTGAAATTTTTATAAAAAAATTAAATTAAATTTTTGATTAATTTTTTTTAAATGTAATTTTTAATGCTTTTTTTAAATTTAGATTCTTTTAAATTTAAATTACCCACGACCAACGACCCCGTAGGACCAACGTGTCCTACGGTGCACGACACTGTAGCAACGCTAATGGCATCCCACCACTACCAGCCACATCAACACACCAGTACACACCCGTGCTAATCTTACACCACACCAGCTGGCTAAATGCCCGATTTATCTGCGGGACACATAAACAGCTGTTAAAATTAGTTCCACGCTGAATAGAACACGTAGTTATGCTTAGCTCTGTTACAAACTAGATACACACATTAGCCGCATCACTGTCCATTAGTACTGGTCAGCTTTCGGCAAGTAACATCTTAAATACACACATTAGCCGACTGAAGTTATTTCTACATGGCCGCTAACGCTCCATTACCGTAACCTATTGTCCGCCCTACGTCATACCCACATCGGTCATCTACGTGGCCGAGGGGGCGTAAAAACAACTCCACTCCTTACTCGCCATTGGCCGCCCACTCTATAACACTCTAAAAACTGACCATAGCCGATAATCCCAAACCCTATGCCGTCCCGGTGGCCAGCAGTGATTGGTAGAAGCATATTCGGTAGTAGGATCGCGATTCCTCTTGCAAGATTGGGGGTATAAAAGAGCCCGCACGAGAGACACGGGGCTCTTGTGTTCACCCTCGTCTGTTGCTAGATTTTATGTGTAGTGCGCAACCTTTAGTTTACCCTGTGTGAATTGTACGTGTTTTAGTGAGTATAAAATATACGGTGAAACGGCAGTTGTAAACCATTACCAATTCTACCTTTTATTTATTATATTTCTAAGTTTATTCACGCATTTCACGACGCATATAGCTCTCATCTATAAGCGCACAGTCGCCTGGCAGCCGAAGATATCCAGCAACTACATTGTTGCCGTCGACCAGAATTCGAAACACAACAAGGGGTGCTGCTGCTATACGCATCACTGCCGTTTCACTGAGCTGCATGAGATGAGCCCACAATTTCTCTGGTAAGCAAACAGTTTTGCTGGTAAATTTTTTTTCTTCAAATTGTAATTAATATTCTTATGTTTACGCGTGCGTTGACCGTCATATAGAACTGCTCTTTGTTGCCTCTGACTCTTGTAACGTTACTTAAACATGGATCAGTTGCTGTCTCCCGTGTACGACGAGTCGGACATTCAATATAACAACATGCCCGAGTTACACCCAGTGTCGGAGACTCACTTTGATGTGCCGCATATCCCCCTGCAGCCTGAGCCTTCGCCTTCAGTCTGCCCCCTCTTACGGTTAATGAACTAGCTGATATGCTGGGACAAGCTCTACGCCCAAGTTTGGAATCTCTCGGCGAGGCAGTAGACAAATCAATCCGAAATTTTCCGGAGCATCGGGGCTGCTTGATACGTCTCTCTCCCAGTGGGAGGCTGCACTGCAGTGGGCGCGTTTGCAACTGCACCTTACAGATAAACAGTTTCTCTCCGCCGCCTTTTCTCCGTTGACCGACCACGCTGCGCGATTCGGCCAACAACAGCTGGTGGCGATGCCTGAGTTAACGTAGACAGATCTGCTCACCCTCATTAAGCGCGAATTCCAATCTCCATCTGAAATCCCGCGTGCACAGTCCATGTTAAAATCTTTTCGCCAGACGCATGGTGAAAGTACACGTGATTACGCTCGCCGTCGATTACAGGTTGCAAAGTGTGCTTACCCAAACGCGCACACGTCTCAGCCTGCATTCCAGCAGCGCTTATTAGAAATATTCCGCGACGGACCTCTACTTATCCCGTCACAAAGAGCCATAATCAAGGCTAAGCCTACCTCACTTAAGCACGCGGTAAAGATTTGTGTATCACAGGCATGCGTTGAGGCGGAGTTAGCCACTCTTCAGCGCATTCGCGCTTCTCTACCCCTACCTACAGCGGACGACGGATCCACGCTAGACTATGCAGAGGTCACACATGTTCAGCGCACTCTAGAGCCACGCGCTACACGCCCAGCTAAACTAGTATCAGATTACGAGCTGATTCGTCGGGACATTAACGATCTGCGCGACATGGTGGTGATGAATCTACAATCTATTGCAGCGCAGCACATTTTTGTCCCCCCACCCACTTCAAACCCATCTCAAGATGCGCGCCCTGTTCAGCGGGGTGCTAACCCATACACGCGGCAGTTCGCTCAGTGTCCGCCGTATCCGTTTGTTCCTCCGCACGCAGCTGCTGCCAACTCGTTGCTGCGCTGCTATGTTTTTAATCAGCTCGGACACGCAGCACGCTATTGCCCACGCAAGGCGGGAAACGCTGGCGGCGCGCGTCAGTAAGGAGTTATCGCGCAGCACGCTGCACATCAAACGCTCCCGCTTTCCCGTACGTATTTTTGTCAATTGATACCCTGCGGCATAGCGCACCGCATTGCGCCGTGCGTATAACAAGCTTGCCTTTGACAGCATTAATTGATACAGGTGCTGACGTCACGCTTTTAGCTTATAAACACCGGCTTACCCTCCCTCAGTCTCTCCGGGTAGAATCTTCTTATTATACTCACCACACGGTGTTGTTGTCTGCATCAGGTCATCCATTGCAGGAGATCCCCATTGTGGGTGCAGCATTGCTGCCTGTTTGTATTGGCCCTTGTAAGATTAGAGTTAAACTACACATTGTCAAGGATTTACCACGCCCGTGTGTACTCGGAGAGGATTTTTTCCATACAACAAGAGCACTGATTGATTTTCGATTGGGGATGCTTCCATTTGGTAGGACAGGTGTGCCGCTTATCACTACGGGAGCCAATCGCAATACTTCGGATACACACACTGGACAATCAGATACCCCCTCACTTATGTACCCTCGCAGGCCGCTCACGCCGTCAGTACAAGCCTCATACACCTGCTGCGTATACAGTCACAACAGAGGGTGCCAGCATCTACGCCACGGATTATACGCACACCAGTCAGCCATCGTCCACACTACCACTCCACCGCACCCCACCCCACCACCCCTCTCGATTGTTTAAGCTCTTTCAAGATAATGTTACCTCCTTTGCACCCTCTGACAAGCAGTTGGGATGCACACCACTAAT